ATTTCAGCCTCAATTTCGATTATTATGTTTTAAATTTTAACTTTATTATTTTTTTTTCATATTTTCTCAGTTAAAACAAAAGTTCATCCCATTTTTTTTAAATGGGGGGGAATCGATAAAAGAAAACGGAGTACATAAGTATTCACATACTCGTCATTATTTAGCATGACTTCTTGCCATCTGTTTAGCAAAAGATTAAACCCTTACTGATAAAAGTTGTCTTAAAGGAGGAGTTAATTCTTCCAACTAATCATTATATGACATGTTTGTTATTTTAGGTCAAAAGCCCACTTATTTAAAATTTTTGGAAAATATGGTAATGCTGTTTTCACATCTTTTGCTCTAGGTCTGAAGGACAAAGGAATTCTGCAATAATAAAAAAGATAGCCCAACATAAAAAATCTTGGGATAATCTAAAACTTACCAATCAAATTCAAGTAGCTCCTTGCCCCTCAAAACGATTAAAGCAACATTATGTCTAGGGTTATCAAGCTCAAAGACACTGAGAAGTGTTTGCTACCATTTATATCAGGGTTGCCACTCAAACAGGAGAATGAAATTCCCTGACTTTTCCAGGTTTTCCAGGTGCATTTCAAGAAAATTCCAGTCTATCCGTGTAATGTACATTGGCTACGCTAAGGGGTAATGGTATTACTTGTATTGTGTAGCAAATTCACTTAATTATTCAATAAATCCCAGAGGACATTTATTCTTAATTATTCTTGGTATACTTTGTTTGATAATTTTGTTTACTTTTCCACTGAAGAAACTTAATAAAATTTAAGATATATACATTGGATAACAAATGTATGTTTTATTTAATTATTACTCATGATCATCACCAGTTCAACACGAGGCTAATCCGGTCTTTATAAATCACAACGCAATGCTAAATAGTTAGGTTAGATTTTAGGTAAATTTAATTTTGTAGGTTGATTTGTGTGAGGTATGTTCTTAAAAAGCACCTTAACACTTGAAAACACAAATATAATTATAATAGTTGTTGTTTTTTCTCCATTGAAGATTGAGATTAGAATCTTCCCAATCTGGAATAAAATAAGGCTTTTTTTGCAGACATTCTGCTGCTAAACGAAACAAAGAAATCTATTTTAATAAATTGAGGTATTTTATATTTAGTTCGCAGCATACATAAGAAAAAAATATGTGCATTAAATTTCGTGATGGTATGTCATCATACTGCTAGAATTAATTTCAAGATTATGCCAGAGAAAATTTCCTGAAATTTAGAAATATTATTTACTAATAATTAATAAATTTAGAGGGAAGAAGCATCATTAAATTATACGAATAACATAAAAATAAAGATAATTACTTAAAAATTGAATTAGAATAATCAACGATATTTTAGCGAATATAGTTATATTACATGGTTAGCCTAGATGACAGATTACTATTTTTATTTTACTGCAAAATGGCAAGGTAGGTATTTATTAAAAAGAAAAGTTTAAAAAGATTTTGCGGTAAAATTCTAGTATACGGTAAGGCTTTGGCACGATTTTGAAAATTGTCGCCAAGACCAAAATGACCCGTTTACTGCGCATCATCATGTCACCAAATCCATACATGGAGATTATTTTAACCAAAAAACGTCTATGCAAAGAATCTCTTAATTCTTTGGTCTATGTAAAGAAGAAAATTTTCCATACAAGTAAAATGCTATTACGCCGCTAGAATGCGGAAGGAAAATTTACCAAGGGATTTGGCGACGGAACCTGGCGGCCAGAATTTCCCTCTCCGCGATGTGTACCGGAAATTGAGAAACGTGTTAAGAAGAAACGTTCTTTGACAAAAAGAAAGCTACGAAAATCCGTTTTTAAATTATTGCGAAAAATCCAAGAAGAAACATTTTATCAAAGGACGTTTCTTCTTGGATTTTTCGCAATAATTTTAAAAACGGATTTTCGTAGTTTTATTTTTCCATGAAAATAACTAATCCATGAATTAATTTACTTGCGCCAAAAAATATTTTCTTTTAATTTAGAGTTTAACTACTTGCGCTAAGACTAAACTTGACGGTTGCGCCGTGCGCTACAATATAGCAAGTGGTAAAGTGTCTCATTTACGCCGCTCCGCATCTGCGAGTGCAATCCAGAGCTGTAACTCGAGAAATAAACAATCTCGTTGTTAGGCGACGTGTGCACCATGTTATTTTCATTTTTGCGGTAAATGCTTATCGACGTGGGGTTCACGTCGCTCGCAGTTTGAGACAAAAACATCTCGACGTGCGTGGCACGTCTTTTTAGCGCAAGTGGTTAAAGAAATTTTAAAGGATATTCATTTAATGAACTCTTGATAACGTGACCTTCGAAATTCGACACCGGTTTCCAGCTTTGGCGGCAGACATATCACGCATGCACAGATGTTTCCCTCTATGATGGAACGGAGCCACGTCTGTTGCAGAGAGGTTTTCCTTCTTTAGAATACATATTCTTTGATTCTAACCTCCATGGTTACCGTATACTAAGATTAAACCCATTTTGTTTTATACGAGAACAGGTACTTTCTTTAGTTCATGCATTGCACATGCGATTCTCGAGAATACTGGAAACCAAAAGTTGCGGGAAACTTGCTTTGCTTTTCTAAAAGGCAATCAAATTGGAGCTGCGAAAATTGGCTCTATGCCAGCAGACACTCACGTGATAGACAATTCGCCAAAAAAAGTTATCTTTTCCGACGTCGGCGCAAAAATCGCTTTTTTTGGCGGGATCATTGTATGAACTTCCCTGACTTTTCCAGATTTTGACAAAAATACTTAAATTCCCTGACTTTTCCCTGAATTTTTTGGATTTTCGAATTCCCTGACTTTTCCCGGTTTTCCAGGTAGCGTGGCAACCCTGTTATATATCAGTTTTTGCCTCAATTTATACCAAATGTTTCCAATACAAATCAGCACTACTGGTTTAATCAGATGGGGACAAATCCCAGTGGATTATTCCCTTCATATACCACCATAAACTTAAGAGGACCTGTTCAGGATCCAATCACTTTTTTGGAAATGTCTGGAGCATGCTCTGACAGCGACATACAGTCATCTACTACTTGACATTTTACTACAATAGCCATTCTCATCATCTGTAACAATTCATTTCAAAAATGCTTCATTTTGGGAATAAAAAATCAAAGAAAGACAAGTACTGGCTCCTACCTGGGGTGAGCTCAAGTACCTGAAACTGCTGTTCTGCATACAAATATTATTTCCACTAATTATTTTACAGTTGCAAAGGAAGTATTTAATATGACTTGCCAGAATCTGTTCATAAATCACAGATGGATTTACAGAAATCATTCATCATTTTATAGCTTCTGTCTTGCTCCTTGAATTTCTAAAAGCAGTGATGGCGTTTGCTACAGGGGTTGGACAAAAATATGGAAACACCTTTAAAAAAAACATGTTTCTTTGCTTAATATGGTGTAGGAAACCTGTTGGCATCCAAAACAGCTTGCAGTCTTCTCGGAATGGATAAACACAGTTCCTGTATGTTTGCCAAGGGAATATTATACCATTCTTCCTGCAAAACGGTGGAAAGTTCAGATAACGATGTTGGCGGTGGATAACGAGAACGCACTTTCTGTTCCAATGCAGACCACAAAGGTTCGATAATATTCAGGTCTGGTGACTGTGGTGGCCAGGGGAGATGGGACAACTCATCCTCGTGCTCAGAAAACCAGTCCTGTACAATGTGAGCTGTGTGAACAGGGGCTTTGTCGTCTTGGAAGACACCATCACCATCGGGGAACAAAGTTTGTACCATGGGATGAACTTGATCGGCCAAAATGTTCACATAAGTCTTGGCAGTCATGTGCCCTGACACAGTTATCATAGAGCTAGCAGAGAACCACGATATGGCTGCCCAAACCATAACAGAACCCCCGCCATGTTTCACTCTTGGCAACAAGCAGTCTCTATTATAGGCTTGAGATGGCGTTCTCCAGACGTAAACTCGGCCAGAAGTGGGGAAACAATGTGAAAGAAGACTCGTCAGACCATATTACTCGCTTCCACTGCTCTATAGTCCAGGCTTTATGACTTAAACACCACCTTTTCCTGTTACGGGCATTAGCATCACTGATGAATGGCTTCTCAATTGCAGCACGGCCAGCAATTCCCTGTTTATGAAGCTCCCTTCTAATTGTTTTGGTACTCGCAGGGTTCGGTAACACAACATTCATTTCAGCAGTAACTTTTGCAGCTGTGGTCTTCTTATTTTTCGTCACAATTGTCCTTGATGATCGTCTGTCACAATCACTCAGGACACACTTTCGTCCATGCTGTGATTTAGCAGATGATGTTTTACCGCTTTTCAAATATGCGGAATAAATCTTCGATACAGTACCTCTTGAAACACTAAACACCTCGGCTACCTTGCTTACGGAAGCACCTACCATACGTGCTCCAACAATTTTCCCACGTTCGAAGTCTGTTAACTCTGACATAATGCAATGACAACCTCACATAACAGTACTCCGACAACAACTGAACTGTTTAGCACATTACAGTTGTATAGGTGGCGTCAGTAGTGTCGAGCGCCACCTACATATTTCATTAAAATCAATCTTTCTTTTCAAACATGCATTTCACAAGGTGTTTCCATATTTTTGTCCATCCACTGTATCATCAAATACATTCATATCCATACACATGAATATTTCAGCATGCTAGGCCCAGAGTTTTGCTTCTATTAAACTTGTACAACAAACAATGTCTGATACACTCCTTACTGATGGCCATTTTATTCTGTATTTTAAATTTGAGTTATTTATTCTGATTAGCATGCTACTCTATATGCTATCTATCTATATATTTTACTAGTTGAAAATTTCAGTCATCACAGCATCACATCAAATCTACTTATAACATGAATCCCCAAAAACAGGACAAACTTCTGCTTCAAACCAATATTTTTTGGAATATATGATGACAGAACTAGATACCTCTTTCCCTAAATGTATCAAGCTAATTTTTACATACTGAGACTCACCTTCGCTGACATCCAAGAGTCCACCAGAAAGAGTATTCTCACCTAAAAAGTTCAGACTGCATCATAATTCATGTTTTCACCCATTTATTCTTCTCATCAATCATATAACTACTTTACATCAGCAGCTTCCATAGTTTTAAATTTTAATTTGTTTTCAAAGCATATTCAAACAGTTTAATAAAAATTCAGGTATTAAAAGTTATTCAGTTGTTATTTAAGTAACCAAAATTGAATTAGGATGATCAAATTGAGGTATAACAAAATAAAGGGATCACAAAAAAGGTTAATTAATTTATAGGTTCTCAAGTCATAGTTTACAGTCAAAAATAGGTTTCATAGAACATTGCCTTTCCCCCAGTAACATACCAGAACCTTCAATTTTGAAAAATTACTCTTTCAGCCAATTTTAACCTCTTTTGTACATTTAAAAGGGCATTTTTTTTACATTTTACCAATTATAATATAATTATATAATATGATTACAGAACCACAGAATATTTTATTTTTATACACAGGATTACAGTAACTAATTGGGTCATAAACACATAAAAAGAAGTCACAACAGAAGACATCAAATAGAAAAACCTGTCTTCTTAACGGTATTCTGAGTCACTACAAACCTTTGAATATAAAAACTCCAGCCAGAAAGAAAGACACTACATAAAAATAACTCTTATATCTATGTAATATCTTCATGGCATAACAATATGGGTTGGCTGTGACATTTACATGCACAAATAATAATTGCAGTAAATATGCAAAAATAATTTAACATAAAGCAAATGAACTGTTTATCTTGATGAGAATGAATTTGCTTTTGCTTTCATACGCAGTGTTAAGCTGATTCATTAACAATTTCATTAAATATTCTGGGCAATCAGACAGCACCACTAAAATTGGTTGTTTCGATCATTTTGTCTTCCCTACCATTTTAACACATGCTTGAACATGAAAGCTATTGAACTTTTTATTTTATAAAGCTATTATTGAATTACTAAATTATTAAAACGAAACCTACTAAAATCAGTCAATTAAGTACTAAATCACTGCCAAACATTTACTTTGAATTTAATTCTCACCTTAAACATTAAAAATCTGAATAAAGAAGAACAACTTAATTTTAGTAAAAAGGGCAACTTAAATTCAAAGTAATATGGTAATTATGATAAAGAAGCATGTACCTACTTTTCTGGAAAGAAATATTTTTTGAAGATATCTACTTTGTTTTCAAAATACAGTTGAGAAAAATCACACCAAAAAAGTTTTCTAATCACTCACTGTTATCAGCTGTTAATAGAACCAAACAAAATCTAGCCATTAGCATGCAAGTAAATTATTTTATTTTTACTAATGTGCTAATGGATAGATTTAAACACTTGATAAAAATCAATGGACAAATTCACTTCTTTAAAGGAATAAATATTTGCATGGATAAAAACTGGAAACGCGTGTCTAATGTTCCTTCAAAATTGGATAAAATTAACAAAAATTACAGAGCTTACATTTAATAAATTTTTTAACTCACCTTCACTGGAGTCCAGGAATTCTTCTGAGAGATCATTCTCACCTAAAAAGTTCAGTCATATTATTTGCCATTTTTTTATTTTTTTCCCACCTTACCAATTGTATATTACCAGTTCTCTCTCTAAATTTTGAATTTTTACCCTTCTCCAATTTTCATTTTAATAGTATAACCGAAAATCAAGATATTCAGAAAATACCCAACTATCATGCTCATGAATTACTCAAACTAAATTTAAAAATTTGTCAGCAATACGGATACATGACATATCTATCTATATCTATACAAATACAGATATAGATGGATACCTATATATTATATATATATATATATATATATATATATATATTGTTACGAATTTAGTATTCAAAAAGCTAATGTTAGTTCAATTATAAATTAAATGATTTTATTTCTCGCACAGTGCAGTGCATGACGAATATTAAAAGAAAGCTAAGCAGGAAAATTGAAAATACAAGAGTGCATGCATTAAACAAATAAATATCTCTTTTTGATTTCGAGAAAGTACTGGAAAATTCTAGCGCGTGATTTTAAAATCTTATAAAAGGAGGAAAACATCCCAGTTTGCAGGAGTTGCTTAGTTTGTTGTTGTTTAGAAAAACTGCTCTTGTTGATTGTAGCGAATTCGTGGATTAGCGTTCTTTAGCTGTTTTGAATTACGTTCTATTGGACATTTGAGTAGTTAAAAGGAAACTACTGTGAGATATTGTAATACTGCATGATAATTTGAGAAAATTTAAGCATTTTTGTTGTGATAATAAATTTTTGTTAATTTTTCATCGGACTTGTGCATTCATTTCATAACGAACCCGTACGCACGCAACAATTTTTGGTGTCAGAAGTGGGATTTGAATGCCAATAACAAGAGCGATGGAAGAGCAGTTAAGGTAGTTGATATCAGCCTTTGCCTCATTTAAAGAAGAAATGAAAGAAGAGATGAAATCTAGCCAAGGAAAGATGGAAGGGGCCGTCAACTTCGTTAAGGAAGAAATGAAATTGGGCCAGGAATCCGTTAAGGATGAAATGAAAGCAGTTCAAGCTGGTCAAGAAGAAATGAAAAGAGATAGACCTGCATAATAGAAAATAATTTGAAGCTATGGAAGGCAGAATTGACACAGTTGAAAATAAAGTTGGACAAATTGAAGAAAAAGTTTCTTCTGTAAAAGATCAAATTGAAGAAAGAATTTCTTTGGTGGAAGAAGAAATAGAAGAAAGAGTTTCTTCTGTAAAAGAACATATAGAAGGGAGAGTTTCTGCTGTGGAGAAACAAATTGAAGGAAGAGTATGCCGTCCAACACCAAATCGAACAACAAATTGATGAGAGAGTTTCTGCAGTTGCCAAAGAAATGGATACTTTAAAGAAATTCGTAGTGACAGCAGGGAGCAAGAGTGATGATTTTAATTTCTTACCGATGCCTGCTCGTCCATCTCTGAAGCTATTCACATATGATGGGAAGACATCCTGGGAAGTGTATAAGACCCAGTTTTCTATCGTTGCGTATGCGAATGGATGGGATTCCCAAGCTAAGGCCTGTTATCTCGTCGCTTCTCTGAGAGCAGACGCAGCGGATATCCTGCAGACGCTTTCTGAAAACCAGAGACTAGACTTTGAAGCTCTATCCGGCGCATTGGAGCTGCGCTTTGGTGAAAAGTGTTTGAAAGATTACAGCAGGCTTCAACTAAAATCCCGTCAGCAGAAGCCCACCGAAACACTTCAGAAGCTTGCCACAGATGTTGAAAGGCTGTCACATCACACCTTTTCGGAGTGCCCGACAGAAACAAGAGAAATCCTGTCGCTGCAATATTTCATCGACGGCATCCAGGATCCTGAAATACAGAAAGCTCTTCGAATGGCAGATGTAAAGGACATAAAAAGCGCTCTGTTGTATGCCATGAAGTTCGAGGCAACCCAGCAAGCAACTAGTAGAGATCGCTACCCAGTTAGAGCTGTGCGAGTCCATGAGCCAGTGGATCAACTGATGGCTCGTTTAGATGATTTAGCCAGACAAGTCAACGCTTTGATACGAAGTAGGAGCAAGAAGAAAGTGGCTCTAAGGTGTTGGAGATGTGGTAGTGAAGGTCACCTAAGATGGAATTGCAGAACGCCCCAGGCTACGGTATATAAAGCAGATGATTTTACCAGACAAGTCAGTGGCTTGAAACGGAACAGAAGTGAAAAGAAACTAGTTCTAAAGTACTGGAACTGTGGAGTTAAGTCAGTGGCTTAAGACGGAACAGAAGTGAAAAGAAACTAGTTCTAAAGTGCTGGAACTGTGGAGTTGAAGGCCTCATACGAAGAAAATGCAAAACACCCCGAGGTACGGAAAATAAGACCATTTCCCCAGCAAACGACGCAGTAAACAAATTAGTGACCATATCGAGGAACGGAGGTTGCCAGATAATGAAAAACCTTGTTTTAAAGCGCTTAAAATTTATACAGCGAGTGGCAACAGTAACGGACTGTCCATTAATGGGAATATCGATGGAGTTCTTTGCAATATGATCATTGACACAGGAGCTAATGTTACCATCATTAGAAAAGATTTAGCTGAAAAGTTTAAAGATAAACTTATTTGGATGCCATCCTGTGTTACCCTTCAGACTGCGTCTGGTGATAAGATTGACATAACTGGGAAGTTAAACATAATCATCACGTTTGGAAGTGCCGTCTACCATCACACGGCATATGTGGCGGATATCACAGATCCATGCATACTCGGATTGGACTTTTTAAGGAAATACAATTTTTCCTTAGACTTGAAAAACAACAAACTGCTTTCAGCATCTGATGGCATGATTATCCATCCACAAAAAGGATCCTCGCCTGGAAATGCCGACGCCTTGTACGAAAGATCCAGCTCGGGAAGCTGCCGAAATCATACTAGGGTCGAAAAGAAACGCAAGACTACCAGCTCTTCTCCAGCCCAGATGCTCTTCGGTCGAGACCTTCGTCTGCCTTGTGACCGCCTGTTTGATCGCTGTACGGATGCGCCTTCATCGCCTGAGGAACACATCCAAGATGTCCAGGCCCGTTTTGAAGTGATGCCCCGTTTCGCACGAAACTTGGCGATGGAGAAAGTGAAGACCAGATACAACACGAGAGCTACTGGACATAGATCCAACAAAGGAGACAAGGTGAGGTTGTGGAACGACATTCAATGAAAAAGACTCAGTCCTAAACTACAGTTACCTTCGGATGGTCTATGTACAGTACGGAACAGATTGAATGACGTCTCCGTAAGTCTTCGAACTCTAAACCTAAAGTCTGTCATTATGACAGGTTAGCTCATTACTATGGCCATAGTACGTAATGTAAATAATTGTAAATAGTATAAACCATGGTCCTTTTTGTTCTTAAATGTGTATTTGATTTGTTTTATTTATTGCATTTATTGTTCATGTTGTTTATTATTGCAATGTAATGCTTATTAATGCATTTATGCCACAGTTGTAAGTTTAGCTTCCTGTCCAGGGATTGTACTGCCCGGGACGTGCAGTCCTTGGGGAGGGGACAGTGTTACGAATTTGGTATTTAAAAAGCTAATGTTAGTTCAATTATAAATTAAATGGTTTTATTTCTCGCGCAGTGCAGCGCGTGACGAATATTAAAAGAAAGCTAAGCAGGAAAGTTGAAAATACAAGAGCGCGTGCTTTAAATAAATAAATATCTCTTTTTGATTTCGAGAAAGTACTGTAAAATTCTAGCATGTGTTTTTAAAATCTTATAAAAGGAGGAAAACATCCCAGATTGTAGGAGTTGCTTAGTTTGTTGTTGTTTAGAAAACTGCTCTTGTTGATTGTAGCGAATTCGCGAATTAGCGTTCTTTAGCTGTTTTGAATTACGTTCTATTGGACATTTGAGTAGTTAAAAGGAAACTACTGTGAGATATTGTAATACTGCATGATAATTTGAGAAAATTTAAGCATTTTTGTTGTGATAGTAATAAATTTTTGTTCATTTTTCATCGGACTTGTGCATTCATTTCATAACGAACCCGTACGCACGCAACAATATATACAGAGAGAAAAAGATGATACCCAGTTACATGTCTGTATCTTCTCTTTCTCAGCGTTCACATTTGTTTATCTATTTCAATCAAGTCTTCTAAATTTAAATGCATGCTTCTATGTATAAAATATAAACAGATGAGAATACAATAAATTCCAAATAGGGCCCATGTTCTTCAAAGTAATTCTGATAGCCATTAACAAGCTTTTGAAGTTAAGGAGTTACAGAACAGGAGGGGAGAAAACTGGTAATAAGTTAGTATTGAGTATTATTGATTAGTATAAGCTGACCACAGCATCTACCTCAAAAATAATAATACATGCAGATGAAATGAAAGTTCTATCTGAAGTAAATGACAGTCATATGCAGCACACACTGTTCAACATATTTACCTGTTTAATATATATATATATATATATATATATATATTACTGTTTTGACTTCCTTTCATGCTAGCAATGTTTAAAAGAAAACCTGGCTAATATTCATGTTAAACATGAACCATGTAAAACACCCACGGGTTCACTTGAGTTCAAACCTGGCCCAGACTGGCCCAGACTACCGACATTGAGCAATCTTAACCATTCAGCCACTGTTGGAGCCTTTTGGAGCCACTGTTGGAGAAATCAACATACCTGTATCCACAGTTCCCTTAGATATTACCTTAGCCTTCTTTAGAATACCATCTTCAATTTCTTTCTATCCATGATTTCAAGACTCTCCTTTTGATAATATTAACATCTATATCATTGGTCAATAAAATACAAAAATAATAATTTAAAAAATCATACTTACATGCATATTTTATTCAGGTACTGCACTAATCTACTAAAATGCCCTTCATATGTGTTCAATTTCATTGCATTAACGGTTTCAAAAACTTTCGTTTGAAGGAATGTTAATGTTGACTGCACTAAATAACACTACCTAACTTGCCCCCATAAATACTTTTTTTGTTGATACTTCAGGTTTAAAAAATTAAACCAATTTTGGCACTTGACCTTTGAAAGATAAAACC